ATATACCTGTGTTCTTAAAAAAAAAAAAAGCCATTCCCCCTCCTCCAAAACACCCAACACCACAGAGAGCTCTCACTTATAAACCACTTGAAAGTATTTCTCAGATTGCTATCTTGGCCCACTTTCAACAGATGACAGGGATTGTATCACTTTGCTATACTTCACTAGGTTATGGTATCAAAAATAGTTCACTAGTGAAATAACCCATGGGGCTCTCTCTTGGACATAACATGTTCACATAAGTTCTAACTCTCACTGTCCGCGTCCTTTAAAACAAAACTAGAGCTATTTCAGTGGGTTTCAATCAGTTTCAGCTAGGAGCAATGAGTTAAGTTACCCTTTAGAAACATTTTGTATGACTTCCATGATTTGCTAGCAAAAGGCCCACACACTGAATAGCAAGTGAGCAGCGGCAGTAGGATGCTTTGCAAAATCTGACAGTTCAAAAGGCATTCAAAGAGCAAGACAACAAAAACCAGCCACTGAAGTGAAAACTGCACTGAACTACCACTGTGAAAATAGGCAGAAATGAAGAAGCTCCAGTATAAGCAGTTATGCAGAATGTTTTACTAGTGACATCTGTTGTTTGTTCGGGCAGTCACAAGGCATTCATTAACACAATATAAATTGCAAAAGCTTCAATTCAAAAGTGCTAGAGGAACAGGATACTCAATTATTACAGTAAAGAACACTTACTGAGGGACTAGTACAAGGTTATTTAGCTGTAACATGATTTTCTCACAAATAAGAAAGTTTGTACCAAAGGGGAAGAAGTTTACCCAGCTCAGAAGTTGATGCTGACAGCCTTCTAAAGCCAGCCTTGACACAAGACTTGGCTTATTTTATTTTCACGGACATATACTGCACCAGCCAGCCACCACCATTCAATCCAAACATACAAGCATTTGTATAAACTTCCCCCATTAACATCAGAGTTCCCAAACAAATTCTTGTGATTTCTGCAAAAAAGGCAGGTCTCACTGGTTATTGCTGTATTACAGGAAACGGTCGCATTTGCAGGAGACTGTATTTTGGAGTTCACATCATTTACCAAAAGCCTCAACACAGTCTCTTCATCAGGTGCTGCTTCTGTACAGCAAAACTAGCATTCTGTCTCTTCCAAACAAAACAGTACCTTCAGACTCTCTCCCTGCCTTGCAAGTCTCAGGAACATTTAGGCCTCTTCAATCTGGTTTCTATTAGCAGATAAAGGCCCATAATGCAGCACCTCAAGAAACAGTGCACACTTCATTCAATGGACATGACCCCAATGAAATCCATGAGAAAACATGGAAGAGGAACACAGAGAGTAAGAGAAACAGTTTATTCTCACTCCTCTTGAAGGGAACAAATGGTTCTGACAGCAGGTTTGTTTTCAGAGAGCTGCAATTTAAGCTGACAGGCCAGCTTACTAAAAGAAGAAGCCCCTTCACCCAAACACCAAAACTTATACTGAAAACATTTTTAATTTAGATCTGCCTCTGAAATGAAGATAATCTGAATATTACAAAAATGGAAAAGTCTGCATTGTTACCACACAAATCACACTGTGCAAACTCATGTCATTTATCTGCAGTGCTGAGTCACATCTGGATGGTGGACATGCCTCACCGAATACCACGCACTGGGAGTGCTCCAGCACTTCCTCTCCTACCAGAACTCTGCCTTAAAGAATTCCTACAGTGACATGATGAGAATTGATCTTTTCCTGTCATATGCTGTACATATATTTAAGACTTTTACAGACAATTAGCCAAAAATTGTGTATTACAGTTATTTCCCAAATCAGAAACACTACAAAAGCCCTTCTTACAGGATATGGCATCTGAGGACATGTGACCTCGACCTTCTCACTTTCCCAGCCCCCATCCACCAAGTAAAGCATTGCATGCTTGCAGGCATCGATTCTAAATCTTCAGCTTCTGGAATGCAGCAGTTAACAGTTCTGCATTTTTCAGGGACTCAAAAAAACCCCCATTGAGTTCATATATTCAATGTACAACATTTTCAGTAAGTGCTTCCACACCCTGTCCACAGGACCACCTCACACCACGGAGGTGGTACTTTCCGGATTTACACGCATCAATCTTGAAGCATTTCTCAGATCCTGTAGCTGCTTGGCTGGCTTTCCAACTCCTTCCTCAAATCTTTTTTCCACAACAGGAAGGACAGTTTCATACAGGAAAGAGGCGTTCTGCCTAATGAATGCCTTTTTCTCAGGGTCCTGTTCACACCGTAGACTGTAATCAACATGCTGGACGGCCACCAGGATGATTTCCACGAGACTCTCCAAAAGAACCATATGTAGCTCTGGAAAGTAAAGCTTTAAAGCTTCCTCCAAGAAGGCCATAGTCTGCTTAGTGAAAGCTACTACAGTATAACTAAGGTTGACCCAGCAGTCATCACCTGTGTATTGGTCAAAATTGCCCACCCCACAGCTCCTCATCTCCTCCCTGAGCTTCCCCAGTGCCTCTGGAGTCATTAGGTTCATCTTTCTCCACATCTCCTCAGAGTTGCGGTGCTTGGTGGCCTCAATGATGATATCCTTGTAGCTCTGTAAAGCGCCTTTGATATCCTTCACCAGAAGGGCATGAATGATAAAGGTGAGATCCAGTCCAATCTCGCTAAGCTGCTTGCAGTGCTCCTTAGCTACCTTGGGTATTAATGAAAAGCAAAGGATGTTATTAGTGTGCAGGCCCCTTTTATGTCTTACCAGTTAATCACATTTATCGTTGTCAGAAAAGCGAGAAGTGTTATTCATACTTCACATGTTTCCCGTGCTTTAAGAATCTCCTTATTAATGAGAAAATAATAACTGAAAGATAAACCCTGACTGCAAAAATACTCTGCACAATTACATTATAACCCGCTCACACACCCATAACCTGAAAAAGTTAGTCTTGCCAAAAAATATGGAAAGGTAGTCCAGGACACCCTTAGAAAACAAAGAGAAAGTCTTGATGTACTTATAATTCAAATATAACTCATCTAAACTTTAGGATCTCCTACTGGTTAAAGGCAAACTAAGAATAAACACATTTTGCATTTCCAATAAAGGCAAGGTTTTTCTTGCTGTGTACTTCTAATCTTAACGTCTTCCTCTGTTAAACTGAAAAAAACCAAACTAACCTCAAATGAATATTAACCTTTCAACACAGGAAACATCTCTGGAGACCCGCTTAAAAGTCAATAGCTAAACTCGGGTTAGAAAAGATGATTTAAAGCTTTGCAGCCTTTGTTTTAACTTTCGTGTCTCACCACCCTCTTGAACCCTCTTACCTTGACGCACTCTGCTGCAGTTGACAAACTCTCTTTGCTATCAAATACTTGCTTACTGAAGGCATCGACAAACATCCTCATGGAAGAGCGGGCCCAGACAACGAAGGCCGAGTAGCAGCCGTTGTTGCCAGCAAAGTCCGTCTCAAACTCTCTGGCCGTCTCTAGAAGGCTGGTGAAGAAGACGTGGCAGAGCTTGTGGATGTAGAGCAGCGTGGCACCCTCGATGCGCAGCTGTCGGATGGCCGTCTGCACCGCGGCTGCCCGGTTCTTCAAGAAGAGCTCACAGGCCTTGGTGGACTGTCCCAGGCGAATGAGCTGGGACACAGCTCGGCGGGTGGCCCGTGGCCCTCCTCGCAGCGACCGGTCTGGAGACAGCTCGAACACCAGCACGTCTGTGAGCTGCCGGACCCGCTCGTCGACCTTGGCCCGCAGCTCCTTCACAGGCTGGTTCACGGGCTTGTCCCCCAGGTACTCATTGAGTTTATCCAAGAGGTCCACTGCCCCCTCGAAGTCCCGCTGTGCAATGCAGACATCCAGGTCCTCAGGCAGCTCCTGGATCCACTCAAGTGAGAGGTCTACAACCTCCTCCTCAGCAGAGGGCTCTTCCTCCTCCTCTTCCTCCTCATCCTCATCGAAGGGGTTGGTAGATTCGGGGGGTGTTGGGGCAGGCCGGGGCAGGGCCTCCTGCTCCAGGCGCCGCTTCTCGCTGAGGGCCCGGTTGCGCTTGGTCTCCTCCAGCACCTCCAGCCACTCCTTCTTGATCTTGGCGTTTTCAGCCTGAAAGATGCGGCTCTCAGGGAACATGAGCAGCTTGAACATGTCCTTCATGGGCGGGTTGTCCTTGACGTTGACCACAGCCAGCCCGTCGAGGGGGTACAGGGCGTCGTAGCGGTAGGCACCGCGCCGGTTGGGCAGCGCGGTGGCCACGAGCAGGCAGTCGTTCATGAGGAAAGCATGGACCCGCTGGATCTGCGCCATGTGGTCCGCGTCGTACTCCACCAGGTCCCCGTTGTACACCAGGTACTTGCCAGGGCTCTCAGGCAGGAGGTCGCGGCAGCCCTCCACCTTCTCCAGGAGGGTGGTGAGGGTGCGCTGCCGCCCCTCCTCGCTGGCCGCCGCATCCTTGGCCGACAGCGGCAGGAAGGGGTCGGCGGCGGCGGCGCGGCGGGCGCCCAGCGCGGGGTCGTCGCGGTCGGCCTGGAGGAGCAGGGCCTGGGTGACGGCCTCCATGATGCCCTTCTGCTCGGTGAGGATGTGGCTGAGCTGGTACATCTCGCTCTCCAGGTAGCTGATCTCCCGCGCCGTCTCGATGAACTGCCGGTAGTTCTGGTACACGTTGCGCTTCAGGCTCTGCGCGGTCTCCTCGCTCAGCGCCTGGATGCGCTGCCGGTGCTCCTGCAGGTCCCGGTCGCCGTCCGACTGCTGCGACAGCTGCTTCACGTACTCCCCTGCCGCGAAGCCGCCCGACTCCAGCTGCCGCCGCAGCCGGCTCCCGCCGCCGCCGCCGCCGCCCTCGCCCAGCGACAGCGCCATAGTCCCGCCGCTCCCGCCGCCCGGTGCCCAGCACCCGCCTCGCCGCCGCCGCCGCCGCCACCGCCGGGGAGAGCGCCGCGCCTGCGCCGCGCAGCACGGCCCGGCCCGGCCCGGCCAGTGGGAGCGGCCGCCGAGGGTGACGCGTGGGGACGCACCGCCCTCGGACGGGGGGGTCGAGCCGGGGGATCCCGGCGCGTGCGCATTGGGGAAGGACGGGGCGGCATTCCATGGATCGCTGCTGCGCGTGCGCCGGAACGCCGCCGTTTCCCGGCGCATGACCTGTCAGCATGGCGGAAGCTATGCCCGAGATGGAGGATGAGGATTTCTTGTTTGCGCTCAAGCTCCAGAGGGAGTGGGAAGAGGAGGATAAGGCAGCGGCAGCGGAGGAGGCGGCAGCAGCAGCGGCAGCAGCAGCAGCAGCGGCAGCAAAGCGCGCCGATGTCCCACCGTACCGCGCGTCCCCCCGCCCGATGTCGGTGGTGGACGAGGCGTGGGAGCTGCTGGACCCCAGCCCCGACGTGCACGGCCTGTTCGTGCACTTCAACCAGACGCTCTTCTGGAGGAAGCTGGAGGCTGTCACGGTGTCCTGGAGCCCCCGCATGACCAGGTGCGGCACCGGGGGGCGAGTGGGTGGTACGGTGACGCCGCCGTGTGTCGGGAGCTGCCCGCCGTACCTCCGACGGGCCCCGGCAGCTGCCGGTGGGGGATCAGAGCTGTGGGAAGAGGCCGTCACCCCTCGAGCAGCATGGCTGGGAGTCTCGGGGAAGAGAGGAAGAGCTGTCATTTGTCACCGCGTGCTGCTCCTTCTTGTGCCGCCGTAGGCGCGCGGTGCTTCTCTTTCCAGATACTCGAATGTCCCGCATCCCTGGTATAGCTGGCACAGCAGGACGTGGGTGGGTCGCTGTCATTGTCTGGTTTGCCTTTCGTCTGTCGTCCCTGGCAGCTATCAGTGGCTTTACCCGGGATGCAGGCAAGCCCGGAGAGATGTTAAACTGGAAGGAATCAATTGACACTGTGTGGAAACCTCACGTACTCGTGTTGCTGCTCTGGTTCTCAGTGTTTGTGATAGTTTTACAGCACAGCAGAAAGGCAAATATGAACGAAAAATGGTATATCAGCAAAACTTAAAATAGACTAGGCAGGGGAACATGCAAGAAAATGACACTAAACAAAACCAGAAACCTTTGAGGTGTGGGGTGCAGTTCTGCAGAAGGTGCACTTGCTGGTGGCTGGAGTTCTGCCCTGTCATATCCTCTGCTGGTTGCACTATTCTTTAGACACTTGAAAGTCGTTGGATATTGAACTGGTAGAGGACTCAGTTACACAAAAAAGAAAAAAAAAAAAGGAAGTGTTTTCTGCTGGATTAACACACAGAAGTGATGGTTTAATATGAGTCAAAAATTTAGGGAGGGTGAGGAGTGCAATTGAAGCAACCAGCAGTTAAGTCAGTGTTTGCTGCTGTGAATCTCTAGCGTCCATTTAGTGTGTTTCACTTCATCACGAGTTCCAAAGGAAACAGTCCTCTGACTCCTAAACAGGTTTTTCTACTCCGGGGTACTTGTCGGGTTTTTTCTTTGCTGTTTTTTTCATATTCTGAGTGACCTAGCGTGTGTTGGAAGGGGATGGCATTTTAACTTAAATTCTCCATTTTTTTCATGTACTACAGAAACAAGTAGATGTCCATATTTTCTTCCTGCCTCTCTTTTCAGCTCTGCTGGAATCTGTACATACCATGAAAAAAGTGGATTGTGTTCCATTCGTCTGAGTGAGCCACTACTAAAGTTAAGACCAAGGAAGGATCTCGTTGAGGTATTTGAAGATTGGTCATGAATCTGCACATAAAATTTATTGTGCCTCCCCCCTGCCTCGCTCCATATGAACATTTTACATTTCTTAATGAGATTCTTACAGACAGTAACTTATAGATCATAAAATAGTGGTGGCTTTACTGTTATGTTTGTGTGGCTTGTGTTGCAATATCATGGTAGTCTTTAGTTTTATGTTTCTAAATGGATGACTTCAAGTAGGAGTCTAAAGTCACTTGTTTATTTTACTGACTTTATAAAGAGAAAAAAAAGACCCCAAGTTTTCAACTCCTAAATTATCATTTAGTGTTCAAAACAAACATGGACTGTAGTTTTGAAAGGGACAACAGCAGAAAATATGGATATAGAATATGACAGTTAACATGACTTTGTGTTGCTTGTTGTGCCTCTGTCAGAACTGCTTCTTTGAGCTGACTGAACATTCAGATTTGCCTAATGAACAGAAATGCTGTAGAATTTCAGCTTTCTCACAAGTGGCTCTTTTTTTGGATTGTAGAGGGAATAATTTGTGACTTAAGTTTGAGGATTATCTCTTCTTTTTGGAATGTCACTTATTGTAGAAATATTCTCCAGTATGTTTTGATAGCATGGGAATTTGGTTTTATAGGTCAAAGTATTATGTTTTTGTGACCCAGACTGAACGTGTGAATGCTCAAAGATAAGATCGGTGTCGCAATCGATGTAGAGGACTAAAATACTTGCAGCTTAATTTTGAAACTGTATGTAATGCTCATCAGTAAATATCTAATGATTTGCATAATTTCAGACACTGTTGCATGAAATGATCCATGCCCTGCTCTTTGTTACTCATAACTACAAAGATCGTGAATCTCATGGACCAGAGTTCTGCAAACACATGCGTCGCATTAATCGCTTGACTGGAGCCCATGTCACAGTAAGCATAATCCTCTTAACCTGATTTAATAGAGCCTTCTTCCTGATTTGGTGTTTTAGTTGTCCATTGTGGTATGAGTAATATGCTTGTTCTTGCCAGACACTCCACAGTTGGTACCAGTACAAATTTGCTTCCAAATGTGTGCCAGTTCCATAGTTATTTTCTTGGGGACAGTGGTGGGAACAGGTTGAGGAAGATGTGGTGAGTTGTTAGTTGTATAGTTTTCAAGTATACTCTCTGTAAGTATTTTTCTTTAAGCTTTTGTGGTAAAATCGAAACAGCTTAATGATAGCAGGGATAGAATAGCTCCATGTTCGGAGTAGTATTTGCGGAAGAACAGTCTATTTTAGTTAAGATTTGTATCAGTAGAAGCTAATGATACTTATGTCGGTGATACTTTAAAATAATGTGTCTGATAAGATCAATTAAAGTTGTAGCTGAAAGGAGAATACTGGTACAGTTTGCAATGCATTCTAAACAGTTCGTTGCTCAGGGTGAAATTGTAGATAGATTTTCAAAGTGATTTTATTGCAGTTCAAACAAGATAGCCAGGACATATTCCTACACATCTTGTCCTTTTTTTTTAAGCTTTGTTTTAATGGTAGCTAAACGTTGATCAAATTTTACCTGGCTCCAGCTCTTTTAACTGGTAATGTAAAAATCACAGCAGTAGTGGAAAAAAATGGAACGGTAATGGATTTTTAAAAAAATATTGTAAGCTACTGATATAAAAATAGAAACTTTCTGAATGCCCGTTTTATTGTTTTGTTTTGGTTTTTTACTTAGATTTATCATAACTTTTATGATGAGGTTGATGTGTACCGCCAGCACTGGTGGCGATGCAATGGCCCCTGTCAAAACAGAGGACCTTACTTTGGGTATGTGAAGCGCTCGATGAACAGAGCACCCTCTGCACACGACCTCTGGTGGGATGACCATCAAAAGACGTGTGGGGGCACATTCACAAAAGTGAAAGAGCCAGAAAAGTTCTCCAAGAAATCAAAGCATAAAACTGAGACAGCAAAACTTCCACATTTCAAGTCAAAGAACAAAGGTATTTTATTATTTCTTTTCCTTTTCCAAACTGATTTTTTCCAAATGTTTTCTTGGAACATTTATGGACCAACCACTACATAAGCTTTGTTTAGATGTTACTGTTATCTAGCAAAGAATAGGACCTGGGTTTTTTGTGCATTTCTAGGCTCCTTCTCAACTGAATTGTCTGTAAAAAGTTTTGTTTGATGCACTGTTTTCAGGTAGCAGAGGTTTTGTATGAAGCATGTCAAATACTAAGCCCATGATTTTTAAACGGAAAAGTTACTAATTTTTTTTTTAATCTTATTTTACAGGCAAGACACAAATGCACAGTACTCAAGATCTGATGCCTTTTAGTGGAATGGGTTACCGGCTTGGAGGAGGAGACAGTGTACTTTCAGAAAAAGACACAAATGCCAGCAGCAGCATTGGAAACAGTGAAGCACATGGTTCACAGCATCATTCAGCAATAAGGACAAGACCAATCCCTAAAAATGAGATAAAATTTGAAAAATTACCCCATAGTGGCATCTTTCCACTTCATACCGATGATGCCAGTGAGAAGATCAACTTAACTTTAAAGCATGAGTTTCCTAAACTCTCTGTTGCTAACACAGAAGATTACGAGAATGATAGTGGATTGCCTGCTAGAATGGCTCATGTTAGGGAATTAAAATCAAACCAAGGCTCTGCAAATAACAAGAGGGCTCTGCCGTCTCCCAGTCGGCCACCCAAACAAATTTGTCTGGAGCAGACAACAACAGCTCAGGGTGCATCTGAGAAAAAAAGCTTAGAATGTGTTAATACACCACAGCAATGGCCAAAACTGGAAGACAAAACTGCCTTTGAAAAGTATTTCATTAAAAAAGGGGGTACTGGTGTCACTTCGAGTATAAATACAACTATGAAAACCAAAGCTGAATTCACACAGTCCTCTGCAAGTTCTAGCAATCCTGTGAGGCAGGATAAAAATGTCAGTTGTCCTGTCTGCGAAACTGAAGTTTTGGAATCTAAAATAAATGAACACCTTGATTCTTGTCTTGCATGAAACAGCAGAAAGCTGTCTCAGAAAGATAAATCAGGGCTGAAAACATTGCTTGAAAGTTACTTTGCTCAGTTTGCTTAGCTGTGGTTACATTCCTGTGTGCCTGTTCTGAAATGGAATTTAAACTGTTACTGACCCCCATATCCTGACACTAGTAAGTAAAAGCTGCTAGCAATATTGGTAAAGACTGTTCCTGGACATGCCATAAAACCCTTCATGATTTTTTCAGTTAAATTTCCAGTCCTTTACAGGTCAAATTAGGATTAACATGTTACATTAGTTGACAGTCTTTATTTTACTCCTTTTGGAAGCCAGTCGGCTTGGTGGTTAGTACCTAAGAGGCCAGTCAGTTGAGTACTAAAGTCATTGTGCCATGAAAAGTTAGGAATGTTTTCTAGATAAGCTTTCTGAAACATTAATAGTTCTCTTGTTGCACTAAAGTATTTAACGGGTTAAACATTAAATAGCTCGATACCTCACCTGTAAAACTGTAAATATGTTTGCTTAAACATAAAATTGTTTTAGCATAGTTTTTAAGCAAAATTGTTTTGTGTCTTGCTGCTGTCATTGTCAATGGCTGTATCAGCCTGGTTTGTGCCTTTTGCCTCATTACTTGCTGCTCTTTTTAAACATTTTGTATTTTTTAAAATAATGCCACTACAGAAGTTTAATGTAAGTAGTTTTGTTCTTGCCTACTCTAAATAAATTGTTACTGAATTTTAAATTTCCATTAAGCCTGGCTATTTTGTGCTACTTACCAGTGGGTTCTTCTGTATATCTGGTAACAGTCTGGTTTAATAGAGCCTTTCTGATTTAATGCTTTTCCTTCTTAAATTTACCTGTAAAAACAGGTGCTGGTGAATACAGTTTGCATCAAATTCTGCTTTTCCAACCTATTTTTAAAACAGTTTCACTTTTCTTGCACTTCTGTGAAAAATTTTACAAATACTGATTCTAAATCTTGATTTGCCATGTTAATTTTCCATACTTCCATCTTAAAACGGCAGCATCTATCTGTGTTTCCAGTGAGATTTGACATTTGCAGGGACACAACTACCCAGAAGTATTTCTACTGTCATATGTTTTTAAGATGAGGATGAGATTTGCACCACAAAGGGTCTCTCACATCATGAAGCACTTTTGAGAGATATTTCCCTTATGATTGTTCACATCAGTTTCCTCATTTGTCTTTCCTACTGTGACAGATAAGAGTAAAGGAGAAGGAAGGATCGTGGGTATTGTTAAATGTGGTTTGGTTTTTTTCCCTAATGTCTTCTTTTACTTCTAAATTGTTCATTTGAACAACAAATAGAAAACAAATGTGGGATTTGACCTGGGGAATTTAGTGAATAGTATAGCCTGTTAAGGTAGGGAGAGGGGAACTCAAGCTATAGGCAAGTTCTGTATCTAATATACAAATGTCCTAAAATAGATCTGTTGTCCAAACAATTGAGCAGTTCTGGACCAGCTGTGGAAAAACAGCACCTCTGCTCACATGTTTTTACAAGGAAGTATTCTAATGCCAAGATTCCTTTTATCTGGAAAGAAAGGCTCTGCAGTTGCCATTGCAGGCTAATAGTAATGTGTCATGGCTGCCTTCTTTTGGGGTATGTTACTACAAATGCTGTTTCTGTAAAATGTTGTTCTTGAATACAGTGTCCTACCCACAATGATAATGACTACCAGTATGGTTTTAAAATACGTTGCTCAGTTTGGGTCAAAGGTGAGAAATTTCATCTGCTCTATCAGTTGACTTTGTCCTGAGTGAGTTTGGATACTGCCTAGAACAACACAAGCTGGTAATGAGTCTTGGACAAACACGCTTCACCAAAGTGCAGCATTAAGTTGCCTGACTGGAAATTTGAGAAACAAGTTAATAGACTTGATTTCTGGGACAAAGCAGGTATGAAAGAGGGTCAAGTGTGTGCGTGCTGTTTGTCAACAAATGGTTCTGCAAACTAAAGGCAAAAGCCTTCTCATTTTGTGGTGATCTACTGGAATTGCTCTGAATGATTCAGAGAAGAGTTCTAGAGGTTAAACTGCCTAAGTGGGGGTTACTTAGCTCTTTCATTATTATAAGAGAGTTTGCTTTTGAGTTGCCCTGAAACTGGTTATCAGGCAAGAAGTCTTGAAGGTCAAATATTTTCAAGTGTTTTTATGGAAACATTATCTAGGAAGTTTTCTTAAAACTTGAATTCTGATGAAGCAGGGGGAAGAATTTTTCTCTGGACTAGTACAATGCATTAGTATCTTGCAAGAAGATACGTAATAGAAATAGTCTGCTTTCTAACATGTTTTAAAAGCAATAATGTGCATTCTTCTATCCTTTAGCATCTCCAGTAGTCCAGTCACTATTTTTTTCTCATAGGATATCTGGGTCACCTGGGAAGTGTATTCTCACAGCAAGTTCAACCCTAATGCCCACGCATAAGCTGATGAGCGGGCTATTTACGTCTAGGTGGAAGCACGCCAGGCAGGGCAGGTGCTCCTGCCCAGACTCTATAATCAGGAATCAGTTACCTGAGCTCCCCTTCTAGAAACGTTTTCCAAGAGAACAACCAGAGAAATATTGTTCATTTGGAACAGGCTGTGCTACCTGCCTCTGGTCCAGTGTTAGTGATGAAGGACACCAGGTAATAATCTAGTACAAAATCAATGGCTAGAGAGGGCTTAGTCATAACTGGGCAAGTAGTGAATAAATCCTGAGGTGCAAGTTTCTCTTGCTGCAGCAGGAGGACGTGCCACAGACTAAATGGTTTGTGGGGGTTTTCTTTTTCCTCATGTGTTCTTTTGGAGCTCCTCAATTCTGTTGCATTTTCCATACACACCACATGTCTATACATCCTTCAAGTAAAGCAAGTTACACTGTACTGAAGGATAACAGCAAGAAAGAATAAAGGGTGAGTTTCTGAGGAAAAAGACAGGTGGAGATTTCTTCTAAGTGGTTTAATTCGTGGTAATGGTGGGATGATGCAGACTCTTCTGGCTGGAGAATGTTAAGAAACTGCCACCACAGGAGTTTGCTTCATCACTGCTGAATCTGGTCATCCTAGAACCATTTTGACATGCTGCATTTTGACACCTTAAATTGAAAGGCCACTAAAAGGTCGGACTGGCTGACCTGACCTACATCTCCAGCATGATTGTTGCTGCCTGATGTGGTGAAGGCAGCAGTGAAACAGCTGCTCTCCAACAGCTGCTTCTTACCAGTTAACTGGCATTCATCAATTTTACACTCCAGACCGAAATGCCCAAGTTCCTACTTGCATCTGGATTATTACAGCTGTTTTGAAGTCTTGGGCTTAAAGAAACCATTTTTTTCCATGTGAACATAAAGACTCTACATAAAATTACCCTTGAAGTGTATTTTATGGGTAGACAGGCACTGAAAGAGACTTGCATTTCCCTACATGTGCGTGTTTTCATATACTCGTATCTATGGGAAAAAAAATGCCAAAACCCCGGGATGTGTGGAGCTTTGGGATTCTACAGCAGGCCGTTAGGTGGCACTCCTTGCACATGAAGAATACTTACTTCTTCCTCTCCGATTTATGCGGGGAGAGAGCTCGGAGTGCGGGATTAGCAGGCTCGTATTTCACCTACATCTGCACTCCAGGCTGACCATGGACCAGTAGGAACCCTGACTGAACCACAAACAAGTTAAAGGAGGAGGAAGGAGGGGGAGAGAGGGAATATCTGCAACTAGCTGGAAGATGAGAAGTAAATTTACAACTAACTGGGTGTTCTATGAGTGATGCTTCTAGCTTTGCTGCAAGAGGGACTTGGAAGATGAGAGAGTAGCTCCTTTTTCTAATTCGGGACTCATGAGAAACCCCAAAGGCATCCTTTTGTGGGCTACAGTTACCGCACCACTTGCATCCATTGCAGTGACAAAACTAATCTTCTGTCATCATTTGGCATCAACACAGTTCTGCAAGAGAGGTAGGGACAGAGTTTTAGGAAGTCGGAGAGGCTTATAAAACACAAAATTTAACTTCTGTGCCTTGGCTAAGCCAGGGAGCCAGAGGGGTGTGACTCAGGGAAGGGTAGTGTACTACAGGTGTGAATGCTTAAAATGGGACTCAGCCATGACCTTAATTCCTGTGTTTCCTTTTAGCTTCTGCCAGGTCAGGCTGCTTTAAGACTAGATTAAATTTCTAAGCAGGTGCAGCAACTTGGCCTGAATAGCTCACACTGTTTCTGTTCCATCCATCCTCTATCGTTCGCATCATTTCACCTGCTTTTATTCCATAGTAAGTCTCCCACATTTCCTAAACTGTGTAACAAAGAATGTTTGAAGGAGCAAACCCCAACAAGCCAAGTATCTGACTCCACCACTGCTTAATTTAGAAGCAGTGTTTATTTTTCTGTAACTGATGTCAACCTCTGGATCATAATTTCTGTGTTTGCTGCAAGTACCTTCTCTTCAGAGATTTGTCACTAGTGGCATAGAAAGTCTGGGGTAAGATCTGGGCTAGAGCTCAGTAAGCCCTGGTACTGAGCTATAGGAACATGGTTCAGTTGAGGATTTTAGTGCTTCTCGTGGCTTCGTTAAGGAACTTACCAATGGCAGGAGCAGCCATAGGGCCTCTCTGCTCTTACTCCACTTCCTCTCTAGTGCTTCACTCCCCTGCCTTTGCCTTCCCACTGGCACTGGTCTCTTCCCAGAAGCATCCCAGTAATGACCTGCTTTCTTCCCTAGAGGATCTGTTTGGTGGGTGTGCTGCCAGTGGTTTGGATGTTTGGTGGGTGTGCTGCCACTGGTTTGTAAGCAGTTTTTGATTCACCAGGAGGGCGTGGGTTGTGTTTGGAGGGATACATAAAGCTAAAAAGCTGTGCTAACGACGTGCTCAGAGGGTGTCCACCTGCAGATGCGAGGGCAGCCTCTGCAGCACTTGCCTGCAGCCAGTGCAGGGTGGGACACAGCCTGCCCACAGCACCACCAGCAAGGCAAACTCTCTGGTGTGTGACAGGACCACATGGCTTGGCACAGGCTGCTCCGGGTAACATGTCTGTGGAAGGACACAGCACAAATTCTGGGCTGTTCTGGTAGACGGAAACACGTCCAAAGGGAAGAGTCATCCTGAGGATAAATCAACACCCCAGAGACTTCAGAAAGGATAGCACCTGTACCAGGTGGAGTATGGACAGCTGTTAGTAATGGACTTCAGTCTTAAATCTGCTGTCTTCTTCAGGATATGCTGCTAAGGAAACTTTGGGTTATTTGATTTGCATTTAGCAGTACCTACATAGGAAATCTAATTTAAACATGAGAAAACACTTTATTGCAGTGAGGATTGCTGAACACAGGAACAGTTTCCCTGCAGAGGTTGTGGAGTCTCCATCCTTTGAAGATATTCAAACCCCAACTGGACGTGGTTCTGGGCAGCCAGATCTGAGTGACCCTGGTCAAGGGCAGGGGAGCTGGACCAGACTACCTCCAGGAACCTCTTCCCACCTACATAGCCCTGGGTTTCTGCCTAAAAACCCTAGGAGCACTTTAGGACAAAGTGAAATCACAGCTGAAGGAAATTAAGATCCACCTGCTTGCCCTTGGACTGGCACAGCCCAGGAGTGCTCACACCATCTCTAACCCTTTGTTGACTTCCAGCCACACATCTCTTCCTCTCCCTATAAGGTTTGGCATGGGTAGCTCTCATCACTGCCACCACCCAGACCATAGGGATGAGGGATAAATTCCCCATCCCATGCATCAGAGACTGGGGGACTTCAGGCAGGAGCCAAGCACATGCCCCAACACAAGGACAGGTACAAGGAACCTCTGCCCTGCCAAGACTAATTGCTGAATCCTTGCCAAGTCACACAAGGGAGGGAGGATTATCAGCCCTGCAGACAGCATGAATTAAAACTCAGACTTAATTAACTTGAATGTACCTAGAAGAGATTTAGAATGCAGGAAAAGCATCCTATGAGAGGAAATAGGAGGTATTTCAGGCACTGCAAACCCCCAAAAGACTATTCAAGCTACCAGACAACATTTCCCACACAATTTGGCAGTTAAGACAACACCCAACTGCTAACATCTGGGCTAACACTTGGGTCATGAAATGCAGTTATGCTGAAGCAGACACGTCCCAAGTGGTAGGCAATACCGTGACCCTAGAGCTGTTTGCGAGGCATTATGGACACAAACATCCACCAAAGGAATGGAGACCTCAGTTTGGAGGAAAATACTGAAAATTTGTTGCCTTAATGCTGCCTTCCTCTTAATGCCTGTACAGGATCTAGAAATGTTATCTTCCCTGAGACTTCTGCAGTGGCACGTTCCCACCCCAAACCAGTGCTTTGCATCCTCAGCTGTGCAGGCACTGAACCGTGCAGAGGGTCACAGTCAGTTAGTGCATGCCGTGCAGCAGCTAATGAGGGAAACACTGCCTTAACTTCTTCAGGAACAGGTGAGGGATTGGAGGTCTCTGTTGTTGGGCAGCCATTCTCACTCGGCTATGAGTTGTTATAGGATGGTTTGATCCCAGGCCTGAGTGTATTTTTACATGTGGCTGTGGATTTGTGTTGAAGTGACACCATTTTCTGGAGATCGACAAGTGCATGTCCTGTCTGTGAATCCTGCACCAGTTTTCAACCTCCTTCTCTCTACCTTTTTTCAACAGAAAGACTATCCAAGCCTGGTGCAAAGCTGCTCCTGGGTGGTTGTTGCATGGTTAAGATATACTGAACTGAGTGCCAGGTGAAGGATATGTCCCATGAACTGCTACAGTTCAGTTGTGTCCTGTGTAACCCTACTACCTCTGCCAAAAGAGGAGGAGCACCCTCAGCAATTCAAGGTTATTTGGCCTCCCAGGGATGGTCAGCAGCTTGGCACACTGAGCTTTTGTCAGGCAGCACTAACTCAGGCAAGCAGCAGCAGTGGCCCGAGGCTATGCTGCTGGTCATGACTTGGTAGTCACTCCTTTTGAGGTATTTTGTGCAAATCTCAGCCAAGACCTTGGATAGCCCCTGACCACCTGTAAAGGCAGCCACCAGGCTGTGGCCAGCTGATTTTGCACATAAAAAAACCCCAAATGTTTTCCTCAGCCAAGTATGTTATAATTTAATCCAACCCCCACCCAAGGGGCAGAGCAGAAGAGCCTGCAGCTCCACTGACAGCAGGTGGAACAATGCTCGGGGAGCCATGGAAGGATGCAAAAGTATGGGGTTAGCAAGGGGCCAGAGGCCCCCATGCACATGCGGGAACAGAAATGACAAGGGGAGGTCAGAAGAAGAGCGGTTGCTCTCCAGATGCTCTTGCATGAGGAAACTTGAGCAAATTTTCAAACCTACTGCAAGCACTGGAGGTGTAAGCACCCACTTCCCACTTGCCCTGCTCCTCCATCCCTTCACCGGTGGCTGTTTAGTCCTAGATAAAGCTGAATATCTAAACTGGAGCTTACACCATCGTAACGAACAGCAACAAAAAGCCTCCCAACCAAAATACACCACCTTTGATTGCTACAGGTTAAAATAACTTCTATTTATGCCGCACAGTGTCCTCCATCTGCAAAGGGCCACATGTCTCTCTGTCATCTCTGGGACCTGTAGAACACGTTCCTCTGCTCTGAGGCGTGGCCTGGTCCCGGCCGGGACACCAAGGGGCTGCACTCACTCTCCCTTCCAGCCGGCCCTGCAAGCAGGAGCCTGCAGCATTTCTGCATCCCACTCCCGGCACCTGGGTCACAGCCTAGCCACAGGTGGCCCCCTTCGGCCTCTCTCCTCTCCTGGGTTTGTATAAGCCCCGGGTTTACCGTAAAGTACCTGCCCTCCCTGCTCATGTCATTGCATAACGTTGCATGGTTGTGAAGTTGCAGGAACTCTCAGCTACACACTGCTACACAGCTACACATTTCCTACTGTGCTATTTTAAATAAAGGGGTTAAAAAAAAATCATCGAAAAGAAAAAAATCAAAGCTAAAATGTTCTCATAGTGCAGGTGGGAAAAAATAATCAAAGTAGTTTAGAAATTGCTACCTACACCCATTGAAGAGTTCTTCTACATATAACAAATATTCAGGACCAAAGAGAGTTAACTTACAGTTTCTGCTTGTTCATTACAATATGACTATGCAGAACACGTGCCCAGCACCACATTACTTACTATTATGTTGTGGCTGGGGAAGCGGAAGTTAAGGGAAAATAAATATGCCTAATGTGACAGCTCAAACCTCGCTCTTTGCTATCGGGAACACCATCAACTGGACTCAGAAAACAGATTGTTATTACCCATGGCCCTTTGGCAAACATTACTGGTGTCCACAATCGTATTTTCTCCTTGATGTCCAAAGATGTTGCCAAGTGCTCAAAGTAAAACAGTCCTGAAGTATCTTTCAGTTCCGGTAACCCATGGCACAGCACCCACCACAGCTAAGATTGCACTTTCCAGGTCTAGGGGTGGTTGTGTTTAGTTTGTTGCTGGGGGTTTTTGACACGTTTCCTCTATCTTACTGCATGAAAAAACTTCTCAGGATTGCAACAGCAATTAATCAAGCTCCAAAATCTGTTTTCTTCTGTTCTGTAGGTCTGCCACCATGTCTTCTGCATAATGCAATATTTATTAATAAATTTATAAAGCTTGCTTACATAAAGCAATGTAAGCAAGACACATTTACAACAGAAGTGACTTGCCTTAAGATAGTTTTGATAATTTTTTTGCTTGGCTTTGTGGTTGGCCCTTGCTTTCTTTAGGAGGTAAAATACCAGCTCACAACCCCACAGAATATTCAGGTATTAGGCTTTTTATCTGTGAGTAGGAGTCAAATCTCTACATTTTAGTTATTTTGGATTCGTATTTTAGTTAAAAGCAAAAATAAAATTGAACCACATCAGCCCTTGAAACAAACCCAGGAGAGGAACTGGTTCCACCCTGGCAAACCACACTGACACGTACAAGCCCACAAGGAGTACTGGATCCACATGGTGAATATTCACAGATGAAATTTTACTTCCCGTCTCCAACAGCATTTGAAAGAAATACTAATTTTCAGTGTAGACACTGCCCTGAAGCAGTGTGCCTTGTACAACTTGCCTGTGTGTGACGCTGGCAAGTGTTAACTCATCTGTGTGTTTTACATCCCTCTCCACTCTGATGTGAGAGATGCCCTGCAAAATTTTAGCCATGTGAAGAGGCTGGTACTAGGCTTTTAGGCTGAATGAGCCGGTCACCTCTGCCAGCATTTATCACCACATTATATACAATGTAGTTACAGTAAATTCTCCACAAGAACCCATAAACTATTGTCAACAAAAGCTTAATCCCAAACTGCACATTTAATAAGGAAAAAAGTCCCTAAAATCCAGCAACTTACTACTGGAATACAGACAAGGAAACCAGCTCCTTGTTCTAGTTATGAACATCTCATCTTTTGCAACACACATCCATGAAGAGGAAGATCAACAACTGTCTTTCCCGAGGCAAACACATTATGTATTCTTTCCCCTCACACTTCATGTCTCTACCAAAGCAGACACCTATAGCATATTTTCACTTTTCATGTCCCATAGTCCTCATTGGACCTTGAAACTTGCTTCTGCCAGATGCTATCCATCCCCAACAGACAAGGTCAAGCAACTCTGATGCAGTAGACATTCCAGAGCGAACACAGCTCCTGAACAGACAGGCTTAAATGCATTTGCAGTAATTACTTACATTCAAGCTTTACTTTAAAAATGAAAAAACCCCGAACAACCTGATGATTGGAGACCCAGAGATCCATACCTCTACCCCCATTCTCCCCAAGCAGATGACATCCAAATCCAGGTAAGAGCCACGAATTTCCTCAAAGTCTTCACTGCTCAGTACTCATAAATTCCCACTAGGTATTTGCAAGTGCATGCAGCTATGTGCATGCCTGCAGGCAAGGTTCACATGCTAGACTCCTGGAGTTTTGAGACTTTGAGTTTGCTATTGTCACTTGGCATTCTCATTTCTTTTTCAAAGCATTTGGCATGCACAGAAATGGTCCTTTTCAGTCTGATTGTATCAATCAGTATGTCAGAGATGTGATCTTTCCAGTTCTGACCTTCTGTCATCTTTGAAGGGTAGAGAATTCATTGGAAGCCATGTAAAACCGAGGAGCTCCCATTAAACCTTACAAATCCTGTTTTAAGAGAACTTTGATTTTCCACCTCACATATCTGTCAAAAGTGGTGGAAAAACTAGAGCTGACTCTAAGTCCATCATCACTCTTCAGAAAGCCCACACATGGTCCTGTTTTTGAGGGAGGAAATCATCACGAAAATGATCACCACACCCAGGTAACTGTAGGTAGTCTAGAGAAAAAAAACTCCAGATCCTTCTCCAGAGCAGAAATAGCTCTGATTTTAAAAAAACCCACAAACCTACAACAACAGAAGAATTAAAACAAACAAAAAAATCCCAACCAAAACACCCACAACAAAACAAAACACCCCCCACAAAACAACCAAAATTTCACATACCCCCTTTATCAGGGGACATTTATAAATTTGTTGCTACAGGGTAGTTTTAAAAGTTACAAAGATTACAAATAACCACATAGTTTTCAAGAACCTTTATACATCATCTTTTTTAATTAGATTAGCTTTACAAGCAACTTGAGAGCTCTTTCATAATGAACACTGCTTTTGAAATTACACAACTTTATAGGCAACCTGTAAATGAATCCTGAATTTCTTCGCCTGCTATAGATAAAGGTCTCGTATTTCACAGCCAGCTAACATCATGAATAAAAATAGCATTATGAAGCTTTATTTTTAACCAGGACTAGACACATACAGATCATAAGACAGTTTAAAAAATAGTTGTAAAACAAGGACCTGCTTGATGATGCTCAAGACTGAATATTCAACCGACATGAAATGAACAGTTTCTGAAGGACATGGAAGAAATGGCTGACCTGATTTGTTGACCCTGTTGCAATGACTTACATGGAGTGAAAAATTAAGCACTTTTTAAACCTGTCCGGCAAGCACAAACCTACAGAGTGATTAGAATTTGATACGCTGTTTAACTGCAGCAGTTTGAATTACAGAGGGACTGAAATGAGTTTAAAGGCTTATGTTTACATTTCTAAAACAAAAACAAACAAACCTCTGTTAAAGTAGTACTAAAGAAGATGAAGTAGAAGAGGCGACTTTTTTGCTTGTTTTATTAGTAACCTAAATGCACTGCAGACCAGACAGTAATGAAGATTTGCACTCCTTGGCCAGGTTGGCAGAGGCACTTACAGTAAAGTATTCTGTCTGTTTTACTGGGAAGAAAAGAGGAAAGACGAAGAGAACTGTACAGGGCAAGAATTTACTAAAAAAAGGAAAAGCGAAATCAAAACAAGACTGGGATTTCTGTTGGTTCTCCTAAATGATATACCAATACTGAATTTTTTCCCCCTTCTGTCAGTTTGTTACTAAACAATTAGCTTTTTCATGTTTTACATGAACAATAGTAATGTTTTTAATAAAAAATTACTGAGCTTTCCATAGAAAAGGTTTCTAATTGAATACAAACTATACAGATGCTAAAACTGTCACAAGTTGTAATATATACAGAAATATTTCTGTACACTCACATTGTTTTGGCTAAGTAAGGAAATAAGGAACAGATAGAAAACTGCAGTGGGTAAGCTGATCAACCCCAAAACTCCTGTAAATATGAATGCTGTTTTTGATAGGCTTGCTTTTGTTTTCTCAAGCTTTTAAAGCTCAGAAAAAATAAAGGAAAGAAGAAGAAAAAAAAATCAGTGTCCAAAATATCAATTTCTTAAAAATAAGAATATCGAAGTTTCTGCACATCTCACTTTTACTCTGTGATGCCCCCTCTCCTTGATAAAATGAAAACAATGTAATAGAAAGTAAGTGTTTTCTTACTAAATATTTACCTCAGCATTTGTCAAAGGGCCGTGCCTTTTTGGGGAAATCCTTCAGCACAGTGAAAACTTAAAAATGTATTGCACAAGGAGCCTACAGAGTGATGCACTTCAGCTTCAGTGTGCTGACCATTTCCTTGATACTATATAATAGATCAAGGTGTCAACTTACAGACTGCACGGGACACAAATATTTGAAAAGGAAATTAAAAAAAGGGAATTTTAGATATTCCATTAACTTATATACAAAGGAAAGAGGGGTGGCAAGAATTTTTTAGAAAAGGGAGAAAGCTCAAAAATTTCTGTCAAGTAAGTAAGGAGGTTCTGGGTACCTCTAATAGTCTAGGAAAGCCCTTGTATATACTTGTAACTTGATGGTATTTACCAGGTCCCCAAAGCCAATGACAGCAACCGATAGTGTCAAGTTCACTTAGTGCCAGTCACTTAAAAAATTTAAAAAAACACAAAAAAACCCTAACACAAAAAAAAAACCCAAAAAACAAAAAAACCAAAACAAAGAAGAAACAGAAACTTCCCCTCTGTGGATTCAACATACAAAACCACAAACTGAATGTTATTAATAGCGAGATACTGATTTGCTTCTGTTAATAAGGTTCAAGATAACATAGTCAAAAAAACAATACAGCAGCAATCTTTAAAAGTTAAGATTAGTGTGAGATATGATATAAAACAATCAGGTTTTTAGCTGGTAATTAAAGTGCTCTTTTTCTGACTTAAGGTGTAAAGAAAATTAAAGTGATTATCAGCTACTGGCAACCCTTACATTAAATTAGGTCTTTCATGGCAGAGGAGAACAGTATGAACAGTTTTACAAAAATAGATCCATGTTATTTTGGAGAATACTGTAATTTTTTTCCTTTTTTTTCAGTTTTTCTTTTTTTTTTTTTAAGACTCAATTTTGATAAACTGTACCTGGTCATACAAAAATTACCCAAAATTCAAACTTTTACCATATAAAAAAAGGGAGAGATGAAATGGATTCAGCTGGATGACAGGTCTGGCAAAATATAAGAATGGACAAATTCTATGTAGGGCACTTATTTATGTCCAGATGCATATGCTGTTTCTTACTGATTGCTTATCTTCTTCACATAAGCAGTCACAGGCCTGGAGTCACAATCACATAGTACAATGCTTCAGCAGTCAAAGAACCTTCTATTTGATGCAACATTGAAACACTGTTTGCTTCCTTATTAAGATGTTGGTTTGTTGTTGATTTTCCTTTATCTTGTTATTCACATTCAAAAGTTAATAGATAGCATCAAGATTTATCAGGGAGAATAGCACAGGGAGTTGCTAAATCAAAGGCTTATAAAACGTCTTTCCCAACTGAGTCAGAAGGTTTATTAAGTTCAACCCTCACACCTTTTTCACCTGCAGAAATATGAAAAGGAAATCAGTATTACTTTTCAGCATTTATCAGTCTTTACAATTGCTACATTCACTGTCCAGATTAGTTTTAAGAGAGTACTTTGAAGATGGTCTAGTACAAATGATCTAGCAAGATAGGTATCTTTGTATACATGCTCTGTATCCTGTGTAGTGTAAAGTTAAGGAGCCATGGTTACTCTTCCTCTCTGAAAGGCAGCACATATTTGGCTGCTCACACAGAGAAGTGGATACTTCACATCATACATGCAGTTCTGAAGCTCATCATCTCAGACCTTACAGAGGTAAGCTTTAAGAATGGACAATTAAAAATCTGAGGATACTGCCCATTATTCTGTATCAGAACATCCAGAGCTTCTTGGTATTTACCTCGGTAAAAAATCTCTGAGGGATTTTTAAAATGCAACATTCCATTTGACCACCAACCAATGCGTACCTCTTCTGTCCTTTTTCTAAAAATTGACCTATTCAGGTCACCCCAAATAAAGTTTGACTATCAAAACATTAACAGACACAATATTGCATATGCAAGAAAAAAACACATATTCTGCATGGCTTTAGTTAGACTGACACTAATCCAAATATGAAGTTTTCTATTTTAGGACATTTTATTCTATAGTTTTATACATTATTGTCAGTAGAAAATAAAAAGCATCTTGCACAATTCTTGCCACAGATATACAGCAAAGAACACAATTTTAATTCCAAATGACAACTGAAAACACAACAATATGGTAATATAAACCAATTACAGGACAAACCCATACTGAAGGAGGATGAGGAATTTCTTCACAGAAGGGGTGATTAAAAAATAGATGGGTTGCCCAGGAAGTGGATGGGGTCACGATCCTTGGAGGTGGTTTGAGAAAAGACTGGATGTGGCACTGAGTGCCATGTTCTAGTTAACCTGCTGGTGTTCAGTCAAAGGTTGGATTCAATGTCTCAGAGGTCTTTTCTAACTTAATTGATTCTGTGGTTCTGTGAAATTTAAACAACCCAGCCTTCCTTCCTTAAGTGCCAACAGTTTAGGGGGACTTGGAGAGGGATTGGGGCAGAAGAGGGAGCACCTTCCCATCAGGTGCAAGCCCACCCAAACCACTTCCCTGCACTCTCTCTGAAAGGGCAGCAGCTGAAGCTGTGCAGAGGCAACAGCAGAGCTCTGACCCAGTAAAGCCAGCTCCAGGAGCTGCACTGTCACACACTTGTGACATGAAGGCCAGTTCAGAGACAGAAAGGCTTCCTGTGGAGACAGGAAGGCATTATCTGTCACTCCTGACTGCCTAGGAAGTCACTGTGCCTTGCCAGGCATGTGCCACGGAGCAATGGGACATCCTACCTGGCTGGAGCTGAGCGGCTCCCTTCACAAGCCAGGCAGGAGCTGCACTGCTCTTACCACTCCCAAAATACACAGTCACCAGTTGCACCAAGGAGGACTGAACTGAACTGCAGCTTTCAGAGCTGCTATACAGCTCTTAGGAGGCTACTTAGGAGCTTCAGACACCTAACAGCACTGCATGGAAATATCATTTGGAAATGACTGGCACATGTCTTCAACATCATTGGCTTCAGAGCTCTTGACAAAACTCCATGTATGTGTGCACTTGTGGTACACAAAATACACCTAATTTTCATTTATTTTTAAACTACCGTAACAAACACGAAACTGTGATGGCAATTACAAGCATGGCAGAAGTTCTAGGCCATTTCTCCTTATAATGCTAATTTGAACAGGAAAATTAGATCAACTTCCTCTTGAGGGAGAAGCCAGAAAAGGAAAACAGATGCTAGATACGTGAAATTGGAAATGGAGGAAGTAACTCCATTCTTTGATTCCAGATTTTAATTTTAGGCTTTTGTTTCTCCAATATAAAATTTTAGTCATGTGAAGTTGTATTCACTTGTTGAATCACTACAGTCAATCAAAACTATTTTCGAGGCTCTCAGTTCTGCAGTATTCTCCACACCTATTAGGCAGATAAGACTAGGGGGAAGCTGTATCCCCCACGTAAAAATACTGAGCAGCCTCAGGTCTCAGAGAAAGTGTGAGCAGGACAGGCACTGACCTGGAATTCTTCCCCAATCTCTGCCTAGGAGTTCAATCCTTGGGTCACCCTTCCCTGTAAAACCCGATTCTTGAGTTATGCCGATTTCTCCCTCTGTTTGTGCATGGGGTGAGGCAAGGAGATGAGGCTAGACTACTTAGCTATTCTTTCACCAAGAAAAAAACAAACAATGGAGAAGATATTAACAAGAGATTACCTGTTAGATATTTTACTTTAGCTCGTGCTCTTTCATCTGCATCAAAATACCACACTGTTATTGCGTACCTAGGGAAATCAAAGGAAAAAGAACAGTGAAGCACTTGGCATCAAACACAACCTAAATGAGATGATACTTCTGCAATCTAACAAAATACAGTTTTCAGAAAGCAAGTGGTTGTTCTTGGGTTTTTTTTCCTATTAGTAGATATTGTCTTAACAGTCACTGAAGGGGTGACACTGATGCTTTAAGTTTACACTTCTTTTTCCTAATGAGTTTGCTATTACGGTTCTTGCCCAGCACACGTAATGAAGTCTCTGCCTATAGCACCTTGTCCTGTGATCTCATCTTTTTACTAGCTCAAGTCCATCACTGAGTTACAATGCAAAAACCTGGTTTTTTGTACATTTGGCACAAGGAACAATTAACTATCATGAGTCCTCTGTTCTTCCACTGTTCGTAGAGGATTTAAATACAAAATGCCAGCTACTGAGAAAAGACTTTAAGGAGCTTTAGTAAATGGCATTTCACCCTCTATCTCTGCTGGGAGCACAAAGGGGGAGGGGAGAGCAGTACAGCTTCTTGAAAGGCTGCAAGAGGATGCACCAAAGGCAGTTTCAAGATACTTCTCCCAAAGGTACTTGTGTTATCTCACAGCTCCAGTCATTGTTCAGTCCTCTGGCCATCCAAACGTGTTAGAACATGGGCAACAAGAAGCTTGGATCAACGACTCCAATGCTACCTATTAAAGCTATCTGGAAATGTTACTCATCACATGCGAGCAGTGAATGAGGGTACCTTTAGCATCAACCACTGCCCTGCAGTGAGGGACAAAGGAGATATGCAGTTTCCCCTATGCCTCAGACTGGGAGCAACTCCTCTAATACTCAAAAGATTTATGTATCCATGGTTGTTTCTGCCGCATAACTCTCTCCCAATTCCCAAACTAGGATATGGCAGCTTAATTTGAAATTACTGTTTTCTGACAGGTAGGTCCCTCCCAACAAGAGGGGACATAAAGCTGAAGTACCTAGTCAATCTTCCAGTAACACAGGAAGGTCCTAAGGACAAAGGAAAGGGAGAAGAGTGTAAAGCCACTACAGAGAAATAATGAAGACAACATCCTTTAGCTGAGATCTGCTCCTGGCTCTGCGTGCTCCCACCCAGTTCGGCCAAGCACACATAGCAACTTCTACTGTTTCCAGTCCTCCCACCTTTCTCCAAAATAAGAGATAAGGCATCACTACAAACTCAGCAGCACAGTGGAAGCCTAATCACCCACCCAGAGGAAAAAAACCAAAACACTTTTTTGTCAGGTCATAATTCACAGTGTCACTCATTTCTCATTAGGATTTGCTCATTTCTTGATAAAACAGGCGTCATGCAGGAGAGAGTCCATTAGTCCTACCTTGTAGCAAAGGCTGGCTGTACTTCATGAGGGTTGCGGCGATCAGACCAGAAGAATAGCAGTCTATCGAATTTGGGTTCAATATCAGCGAATTGGGCTTTACCTTCTGGAAATATCCGAAGGATGCCTCCACTTACCTACAAATCAAGTATTTAAAAGCAATGCTTGAGAACAATGTCTCATTGTATTTAAAAGTACCAAGTATCACATTTGAAAATATTTCAGACACTTGGAACTGAAACAAAAATCTATCAGGTGCTACAGAAATTATGAATCTATGACTTTTCTGTCAATGCATTTAATAAAATGTTCTACACATTTTTCACCAAGTAATTTCAGAATGCTTGCAAATATTAAACCTCCATTCACGTTTAAGTAAAAGCTGTGGGCTTTTATTGGGGGTTTTTTAGCTGCATTACCTACTTGCAAAAAAAAATATTACACAGGTAATATCAGTCTCTATATAGAATATATACCTATCAGTCTACATAGTACACATACATAGCCTATAGATATATATCTCTATATTGAGGTAAAAATATCGCAGTATAGATGAGCGAAACATTGTATTTCACATCTAACTTTCACTCTTCTCCATTAAAGGCATTATTTCATTTAACAGCAGCACAAATTTATGTAATGTTTCTATAATTAAAATGAGCAAGGAGTAGGAAACTTCGAACTAAAACCTGAATCTGTATTACTGATGGTCAATTTAAATCTCTTCCAGGTTTTGGAAACAGCTGGGCCTACCTATGTATGTCTAGAAAACAGCACAAGTAGGTGGGGTTAAACACGTCAGTCATGCTAACATCTTCCTACTTATGGTATCGATGTTGTTAAATCTAACTATAGATGGCCACCATAGGCCTTCATGTCATAAGAGTCATAACAGTGCAAATACCAACATGGCAAATTGATATAAATGACTGTTTTTTAATTGTGTTCTAAATCAGCAAACAAATGACAATTTAGATACATTTGTTCTCCTAAAAAAAGTTTGAGCTTCTTTTTCAATAAACAGTATACTTGGTAGTATATTAAGCTGTAATTTAAAATAGATTTTGCAGGAAATGAAATATCTTTCTTCATAAATAAAATATCCAGATAGTAGATTTTTCACAATTATTGTGGAAATGCAATTTGCTTGACTTCTACACTCTGGTATGTATTAAATTTTTTTCCAGGAGAGAAACTATAAATCAACCAGAAATGCCCCAAAGCTGCATTTTAAGATGCTCAGTACAACCAGTGCACTTATATGCAAAGATACTATCATGGCAAAAAAAGGCTGGTAATTTATTTTCTAATTGAAGGATCCAATTGGACATGAAAAGAGCATGTCAGAAACAGAAAGCTTCAAGTGCATCCATTTGACTCAACTCTCTGATCTACCAGTTCATGCAAGTATGTTATGAGGGGAAAAAAAAGAAAAATAAAAACTCTCAGCTGCAGCCTGTGTTATCCATATCTGGTGCACGCAATTCATAGAAACTGACTGCTTTTAGTGCTCTTCCACATGCTACTTCCTAACTGTGATAGAAGTATCAGTAGTTTTATCCCTTTTTTTTCCTACACACAATGAAAATAAACTTCTCCATAGTTAATGGCACAGTTAAAGCTGTCTTTGCATTACTCTTTCATGCCTTCAATACAGCCACTGAGCTACATCCATTTTTCAAATCTACCTACCTAGCCCACTGAATCGCTAGGAAAATCCTTATTAAAAATTTACTTCATCATACTCCTTTGTAGTAAACTCTTAAAGCACTTGAACTGTGCTGTAAGTCTGTTCTGCTCCCCGTATCTACAAAAATACAAAGACTCGTGCTGCTTTGAACTACACTGATGTAGCAATGACGGTAACACTTGGCTTATTTGAAAATGGTCTTGAGCTAAAGCATCTCTCTATTTATAAGCATACTCCACTAAGCAATCTAACAGTAAACTCGCAATTCAACAGGATTATAAGGACAAATAAACTGAAGGCAGTTTCATATATTCTTTATTTAGTCTTTGTGTATAGGAGAGGCATTTACTACTTTCCTTCAATCTTACTGTCAAAAAGGTCCTGCTGGCATAATTCAAAACCTTGAAAATAAACACTTCATCTCTATCTGCTCTCACTAACAACAGAGTCAGAGGGGGCAAAGGATACCTACAGCTAACATAAAGTAAGAACACAACTAAGGCACAGAAATAAGGACATGAAAAAATATGCCTGTAGCAAAGGTGCATCAGCAAGTATATCTAAAACAAACAAACAAAATTGTTTAGAAAGAAATTATTGCATACCTTGGCATCCCAGTCCTTATTAAGATAATATATACATGTAACACATCTTCCATCTCCATTTGGATTATCGACATGGCGCACGTATCCTGTTCCATTGCCTGGATAACAAGCCACCATAGCCTGGAGTCAAAGAAACAAATATAATAATTAATTTTATCTGTGTGCATGTGAAAAGTCTATTTTATCTATAATAATTCTTAAGTAATTAATACATAAGCAACAGAAAAATTAAACTAGAAATACTGGGCAAAGAATTTTTTTTACTTGTGTTTTCTTTCTAGTTATAACCTGGTTTTGAACACAGATGTCAACAACAAAGGAATGAAAGACACTGAGAGGAACACTTAATTAAGGCATGGAATTAAGGTGGGGCTACTCCCAAGTTGTGACTAATCCTTCAGATTTCCCTCCCTTCAGTGAAATAGAAGAGACAAAAATGTTTCGTATATAATTAAGTAGCATGTGCTTCTCCTTGCGATAAGTTTTCCAGACTCAAATTCAGAGACTTGAGTTCAGAGCTACCTTTACGTATTTTTTTTTCCTGTGTTTCCAATTCAAAGAATTTCTCCCAAAAAATGCCAGCAAACTTTATTTTTAGGGGACTTTAAGACAAGACCAATAGCCCATCTTACTCGATCACTCCAAGTGCATTCTTGGGTTTGTGTTTTGTCCTGTACTTAGGAGGTCTTTGAACCTTTGTTGAAACAAGCCTACATGTACAAGAAAAACATCCTTTTTAGTCAAGAAGTGAGAAATTGAAAACAGACACCGAACAGCAATCTGCAATAACCTTCTGACATCAAACGATTCCCAGTACAGTAGTGTATTAAACTTCCCATGCTGCACTTAGCTCAGCTGACTTGAAAGACCTCTTCAAGATGGTTTCTGAGTCTTCAGACATGAGGTTGTGCATGTGAAACAAACTGGCCCTGGCTAACAGACAGCCTGATTAGCTTGATTAGCTATCAGAGCACATCGCTGGATCCCTGTTCAGCACATCACTCCACCTTTATGCATTTGCTGGAAACAGCAGTTACTTCAGGTTTTGGAAAGAGATCAGAACAAAGTTTTCCAGATCAAGACACCCACTGCCATCACAGTACTCAGATGTCTGCAGTGACAATATCCTATCTGCAAGAAATTGTAACATGAATTTAAAAAAAAATAAAAAATACAAAAACCCCCCAAACAAACAAAAAAACCCAAAACAAAACAAAAGAAGTGTGTTTCTACTAACACTGCTAACCTCAATGACTGTCTGCTGTCTGAAAAAACTAAAAACTTCTAAAACCAAACATTCCTGTCTAGATTTAGCCTAGTTAACTTAGAATTCTAAGTTAGACCCCTGGATTGCAAACTGTTTCATCCCTCATGCAAAACATAAAAAATATTTTCCCAATAAAGTGTTAACTGTGAAAATGTAACCAGTATATTGAAGTAATTCAAATCAACTGTTTTAGTGCATTTTTTGCTTTATACTAATAATTTTAACTTTCTCTCTCCCCTTTTAAAATCTCATAAATAAAGCTTTCCAAAATTTGCATTACACGCAAGTGTTGAGGAACACATTCAGAGCAGGTAGCTCAGTAAACTGTGTTTTAAGCAGGCTAAAAAACAGCTTAAAGTACTTGCAGTTCAATCAGTAAAATACTTGTATATCACATGTAAGCAGAATGGATTTTACTATCTGGGGCTTAGAGAGCAGCAACCATTTTAAAATCTTTATTTCCATATATACTCTGCTAATGGCAGCAGCAGGTTTTGGTAGCTCTGTCTAGGCAGAAATCAGAACAGTATTTGCCAAGTTGTAACACCGTGGTTACAAAGATGCCTAGAAATTAAGCCCAACTTCCTTTGTATGAAAAGTAGTCAAAACTACAAAATTCAAATATACTTCTTATTTTGCAATTAGGCACTTCAGTGTCTCCATCTTTTTACTATAATCATAATGCAGTCACCATTACAGGCCTCACATTATGAAAACCTATTACACATATCAAGAATGTGATCTAATATTTGGCAAAGTCATGACTTAGTAGTTTTGCTGCAGGAAGATAAACCTGCAAAAATCAAAACAGCGAGTTAGAAACACCAAATAATGTAATAAATGTTCTGTAATTTCCTTTCTTATGCAGAAAAAAAAGGAATAAAACAAAAGCAAAGCTGGGCTGGAAGAAGAAGATATTTGGCTTCCACTGAAAGCAAAAGCTTTTGAAAGAAGTCCCATGTACCACAAAAAAATCCAACTAAGCTCTCACAGAGCGCGAACAGTGCTGAAAGCAGAGCCAGGTCCAATCCTGTAACAGTATTCCTACTAACAGGAAAGTTTTAATTTAAGCAGTTTTGCTGAGATATATCATGCAAATGAAACCCTGACATTAACTGTTCCTCAATATCTATGTGAAACAGCAATTAACACTTATTCAGAACGAGGAGAGAACTTTGAAACCAAGTAGCTAGAGCAATGTCAATTCTCTCTGAAATCACAAGGATTTAGACTCAGATATGAAAAGGTCTTCAGGCATGTAAAAGACCTACATACATGTCACTGAGCTAAAAAACCTACTATTAAAATTTTAGGACAGTTCTCAGGTCTCTCTGGCCAATACAGTTCTTTTCCAAAGGCAGTTGGTTGCAGTCTGCTCCTCAAAAAGATAATTCTGCAGGTAGAGAAGCATAGATTTGCATCCTACTGCTATAGTTTCCTTTACAAGGTCCTGAAACAGGTACTCATTCTCTTTGCTGAAGGGAAAGCAATAAAAGAATATTTAACATCAACATTTCTGAAGAAAAAGAGGACCAGTAGGACTTTTTTCTGGGTAAACACCAATTGTCACCAACTTCACATAAAGAGCAGCTGTATTCAACGTCAGAAGTATTTCATACAATTGAGTCTAAAATACTTTCATTGTTTAAAAAGAGCTCGTTTTTAACTTTAGAGTCTGAAATTTCTGCTATCATCAACTGCAAGAGACGAGAAACAGTTTTGCTCCGATAACTTATCTAATATGTATTTGTTATAACAGTAGGAATGACTCAGCCTTCAGCAGCAAATTGGAAAGCAAACAAATTTGGGACTGGGTGGGTGTAGCATAATATACATTGCTTTTGCCAGTCAGTGTGACAATTCCCTCTCCCCAATTAACCTATGATAAGAAAAGGTACAAAATGTAACAATTTATCGGTCATGGGAAATATATTGCTTTGTGCAACAATATAAAGCAAGTTCATGTCAAACTGTCATGTACTGCAAGATTACCCATATATGGAAAGGACAAATAAATGATCCACGTAAATTACAAAGCCACATACTTTTGTAGTTGCTTTAACATTTTACAGTACAAATAAGCAGGCAGATATATGTCAGATAGAGACAAAAAAATTGTGTCTATGGTTGGTTTTTTTTTTTCCAAACACTGTTAATGGCCATCAATAGAGCCATACATTTGAGACCAGAAAGTCCAAGTCCTTAACATTTTAGGCTATGAAGAATAAAGTTGCTAGCTCTCTGAAACAGAGAGTTACCTGTCTCGTCAGTTCCCCCATAAAAGTAATCAGTGAATTCAACTCCAGGTATTACTTGCATTTTCTTAATAGAAAATGAGATCTCCCCTTTTATGCTTTTTAGGCATTACAATTTGTAAGCATTAAACTTAATTTCTGCAAACAATATATTTAAGCCATATGCTGGATTTGTTCACCCACAGGATTCCTTTGCAAACACTGTAAATATTAACCTTCTTTAACCCCACAGCATTTTGTTTTAGGCTGAGCACTCATGTCGAGCACATGAGTGCTGTCCTAAGATACCCTCTGGAATTCATGAGTAATCAAGAAAGCATGAAAGTGATATCTGCCCAACCTGTGTCTATCAAATCCAAAGTAATCACATGCTGAAGAAGCTCCTGATTCACAGAGATGTTCTACTTGCAAATGTTTTAACCCTGGAAAATTATGCCATCAGCCCAAACTGAGCTGCACTGTTAACAGAAGAAGTAATGGAAACCAGATTTTTTGCTAAGCATCAGCATCCATAGTGTGCCATTACTCTAACAATTAAATGCACAAAGGTAACATCAGAAAGAACAAACCATAGTTCATACCGTTTTGTTCACTATGTAAAGATGCATCAGCTAAGACACTCGACCTGAGAGGCACAGCACATCACTGCAGCTGAAAACATGATTTCATTTGGGACTAGCTTCAACCTCCTTTCACAGAGAAGTATGACAGCCTTACTCATCTATAAAGAAGAAAGACTTGCAGGTAAACAAATTAAAGTTTTCTCCTCTATCCTCTCCATTTCTCTCACAGCTGGATACATGCAAGTTTAGGTATCATTCTTTAAAAAACAAGGACGCAATAATAGTAACATCTTAGGAAAGAGAGGAAAATACTAGTAACATGAGAATGCAAAATTCCTAGGGGGAAAAAAACCACCAAACATAAAATGGAGATGACGTGTTCTGACATAATTATTTATTAATGTAAAATAACTTCATTGTTCAGCTCAGATTACAGAAAGCTGCATCAGTCAAGGAGATGACACTTTGACACTTTTGCTGCTTTGCTGAAGGAACTGCAAATCTCAGTGAGCAAAACAAGATGTCTAAATGCAAGACCAATGACTTCCTACCAAAATTTATCAGATGTGCTCACAAAGACTTCACTGGAAATCCTTGGCATGTTTTATCTGACAGATCATTCAAATAAAGAAAAAAACCACACACACCACTGGAATGAAGAAACAAAGAAAAATAATACAAAAAAATCTGACTCATCCCTGTTTTGTCCATCTGTGGTGTATTTCTAGTTCAAAAATTTATTCATCTGTGACAAACAACAGTCCTGAAGAAATAAATTTCACTTTAAACACATATCAGGCTATGATTTTTCACAAGTTGAAAAAAGTAACAGTCAAATTGAAGGAACAAAAGACTGGTTTAGTACCACCTTGTGTGAGAAGCATCAATATTAGTGACTTAAAACATGCTAACGGGGTACAACTTGGCTCGGATTCATAACTCCTCTGCAAATTCTTCACAAGCACAGACAGAAACTTGCAACAGAAAGAAAATATCAGTAGGGAGAAATTCCTGTCAGCCTCATCCAAATCAGAA